GGGACATAACAACAGACTCTGAGGAAATCCAGAGAATCATTAGGTCATACTTTGAAAACCTGTACTCCACAAAATTCGAAAATTTAAAGGAAATGGATGACTTCCTGGACAGCTATCATTTGCCAAAACTAAATCAAGAACAGATAAGCAATTTAAATAGACCTATAACCCCTATGGAAATAGAAGCTGTCATCAAAAGTCTCCCAACCAAAAAAAGTCCAGGTCCAGATGGCCTCAGTGCAGAATTCTACCAGAAATTCAAAGAACAGCTTATACCAATTCTTCTCAAAGTGTTCCACACAATAGAAGCAGAAGGGTCTTTGCCAAACTCTTTCTATGAGGCTTCAATAACCTTGATCCCCAAGCCACACAAAGATACAACCAAGAAAGAGAACTTCAGACCAATATCCCTCATGAACATTGATGCAAAAATACTCAATAAAATACTGGCAAATCGGATCCAAGAACACATCAAAACAATCATTCACCACGATCAAGTAGGTTTCATCCCAGGGATGCAGGGATGGTTCAACATACGAAAATCCATCAACGTAATCCACCATATAAACAAGCTGAAAAACAAAAATCACATGATCATCTCACTAGATGCTGAAAAAGCCTTTGACAAAATCCAACACCCCTTCATGATAAAGGTCTTGGAGAGATCTGGGATAACAGGGACATACTTAAACATAATAAAAGCCATATACAGTAAACCAACAGCCAACATCAAACTAAATGGACAGAAACTCAACGCAATTCCTCTAAAATCAGGAACAAAACAAGGCTGTCCACACTCTCCATACCTTTTCAACATGGTACTTGAAGTTCTAGCTATTGCCATACGACAACAAAGGGGGATCAAGGGGATACAAAGTGGGAAGGAAGAAGTCAAACTTTCAGTGTTTGCAGACGATATGATAGTTTACATCAATGACCCAAAGAACTCTACCAGGGAACTCTTACAGCTGATTAACACCTTCAGCAAAGTGGCAGGTTACAAGATCAACTCAAGAAAGTCAGTAGCCCTACTATATACAGATGATAAAAGGGCTGAAAGAGAAATCAGAGAAACATCACCCTTTACAATTGCCACAAACAACATAAAATACCTTGGGGTAACGCTAAACAAACAAGTGAAAGACCTGTATGGTAAGAACTTTGAATCTTTAAAGAAAGAAATTAAAGAAGCCCTCAGAAAATGGAAAGATCTCCCATGCTCTTGGATAGGTAGGATCAATGTAGTAAAAATGGCAATCCTGCCAAAAGCAATCTACAGATTCAATGCTATCCCCATTAAAATCCCAGCACAATTCTTCACAGAACTTGAAAGAACAATAATCAATTTTGTATGGAAAAACAAAAGACCCAGGATAGCCAAAACAACCCTGTTCAACAAGGCAACGTCCGGAGGCATCACTATCCCTGACCTCAAGCTCTATTATAGAGCTATAGTCCTGAAAACAGCTTGGTATTGGCACAAAAATAGACAGGCAGACCAATGGAATCGAATTGAAAATCCGGGTATTAACCCACACACGTACGAACATCTGATCTTTGACAAAGAAGCTAAAAATATACAATGGAATAAAGAAAGCATCTTCAACAAATGGTGCTGGCATAATTGGAGACTGGCATGTAGAAGAATGCGGATCGATCCATGTTTATCGCCATGCACAAAACTTAAGTCCAAATGGATCAAAGACCTCAACATAAATCCAGCCACACTGAACCTCTTAGAAGAGAAAGTGGGTGGTACCCTTGAACGAATTGGTACAGGAGACAGCTTCCTGAACATAACACCAGTAGCACAGACAGTGAGATCAACAACTAATAAATGGGACCTACTGAAACTGAGAAGCTTCTGTAAGGGAAAGGACACAGTCAGCAAGACAAAAAGGCAGCCCACAGAATGGGAAAATATTCACTAATCCCACATCTGACAGAGGGTTGATCTCCAAAATTTACAAAGAACTCAAGAAGCAAGTCTCCAAAACACCAAAGGACCCTATTAAAAAGTGGGCTGCAGAACTAAATAGAGAGTTTTCAATAGAGGAGTCTAAAATGGCTGAGAGGCACTTGAGAAAGTGCTCAACATCCTTAGCCATCCGGGAAATGCAAATCAAAGCAACTCTGAGATACCATCTCACTCCTGTCAGAATGGCTAAAATCAAAAACACCAATGACAATTTATGCTGGAGAGGATGTGGTGAAAGGGGGACACTCCTCCATTGCTGGTGGGAGTGCCAACTGGTTCAGCCACTTTGGAAAGCAGTATGGAGATTCCTCAGAAAAATGGGAATAAACCTACCACAAGACCCAGCACCTGCACTCTTAGGCATATATCCAAAAGATGCCCATTCATATAACAAAGATGTCTGTTCCACTATGTTCATAGCAGCTTTATTTGTAATAGCCAGAACTTGGAAGCAACCTAGATGTCCCTCACCCGAAGAGTGGATAGAGAAAATGTGGTACATCTACACAATGGAGTACTATTCAGCAGAAAAAAATAATGGAGTCATGAGATTCGCAGGCAAATGGATTACACTAGAAGAAACCATCCTGAGTGAGGTAACCCAGTCACAAAAAGAGAAACATGGCATGTACTCTCTCATATATGGATTTAGACTAGATCTGGGGAGTGCCATCCTACAATCCTATGGCCAGAGAGTCTGGGAAACAGAAACTTCATTTACTGGCTGGTTAAGTACTGAGCTGAACTCAAGAAAGCCAGTATCAGAGAGGGAGGACTGATGATCAAAGGGATTAAGACTGGTCTGGTTTAACCCCCAGAAACAGCTGACCAGACAAAGGTTAACTCTTGAATCCCAGGCATCAGCCTGGGAATCCAGCATGGGACTGATCAAGACCCCCTGAATCTGGGTGTCAGTGAGGAGGCCTAGGTAATCTATTGAGCCTTGAACAGCAGATCAGTACCCATCCCAAGTATACACACGGTCTCTGGACTCCCATAGAACAATGTGAGGTGCACTCTCACACTGAACTCTTGGGGAAGGGTCTAGGCCCTGCCCTACATGAAATGACAGACTATGGACACCCCCATGCCTCACCCTCCCTGGGGGAATGAGGGGATAATGGGGGGGGATGGGGGGAGGGCCCGGGAGGAGAGGAGGGAAAGGGAGAGGGACCTCGTACTGACTTGTGAAGCAACCTTGTTTCTTATCTAAATTTAAAATGGAAAATAAAATAATACAAACAAAAAAAAAAGAAAATCAGAAATGAAAAGGGGGACAAAACAACGGCCTCCAAGGAAATCCAGAAAATCATCAGGTCATACTTTGAAAACTTGTACTCCAAAAATTCGAAAATTTAAAAGAAATGGACGACTTCCTGGATAGCTTTCATTTGCCTAATCAAGAACAGATAAGCAATTTAAATAGACCTATAACCCCTATGGAAATAGAAGCAGTCATCAAAAGTCTCCCAACCAAAAAAAGTCTAGATCCAGATGGCCTCAATGCAGATTTCTACCTGAAATTCAAAGAACAGTTTTTAACAATTTTTCTCAAAGTATTCCACACAATAGAAGCAGAAGGGTCTTTGCCAAACTCTTTCTATGAGGCTTCAATAACGTTCATCCTCAAACCACACAAAGACACAATTAAGAAAGAGAATTTTAGACCAATATCCCTCATGAACATTGATGCAAAAATACTCAATAAGATACTGGCAAATCGGATCTAAGAACACATCAAAATAATCATTCATCACTATCAAGTAGGTTTCATCCCAGGGATGCAGGGATGTTTCAACATAGGAAAATCCATTGATGTAATCCACCATATAAACAAGCTGAAAAACAAAAATCACATGATCATCTCACTAGATGCTGAAAAAGCCTTTGACAAAATCCAACACCACCTCATGATTAAAGTCTTGGAGAGATCTGGGATAATAGGGACATACTTAAACATAATAAAAGCGATATACAGTAAACCAACAGCCAACATCAAACTAAATGGATAGAAACCCAACGCAATTCCTCTAAAATCAGGAACAAAACAAGGCTGTCCACACTCTCCATACCTTTTCAACATTGTAATTGAAGTTCTAGCCGTTGCCATACGAAAACAAAAGGCGACAATGGGGTACAATTCGGGAAGGAAGAAGTCAATCTATCACTGTTTGCAGATGATATGATAGTTTATATAAATGCCCCAAAGAACTCTACCCCGGAACTCTTACAACTAATTAACACCTTCAGCACAATGGCAGGCTACAAGATCAACTCAAGAAAATCAGTAGCCCTACTATATACAGATGATAAAAGGGCTGAGAAAGAAATGAGAGAAAGATCACCCTTTACAATTGCCACAAACAACATTAAATACCTTGGGGTAACGCTAACCAAACAAGTAAAAGACTGTGTCGTAAGAACTTTGAATCTTTAAAGAAAGAAATTAAAGAAGCCCTCAGAAAATGGAAAGATCTCCCATGCTCTTGAATAGGTAGGATGAATGTAGTAAAAATGTCAATCCTGCCAAAAGCAATCTAAACATTCAAAGCAATCCCCATTAAAATCCCAGCACAATTCTTCACAGACCTTGAAAGTACAATAATCAATTTGTATGGAAAAACAAAAGACGCAAGATAGCCAAAAAAACCCTGTTCAACAAGGCAATGTCCGAAGGCATCACCATCCCTGACCTCAAGCTCTATAATAGAATTATAGTTCTGAAAACAGCTTAGTATTGGCACAAAAATATACAGGTAGACCAATGGAATCGAATTGAAAACCCGGATATTAACCCACACACGTATGAACATCTGATCTTTGACAAAGAAGATAAAAATATACAATGGAATAAAGAAAGCATCATCAACAAATGTAGCTGGCATAACTGGAGGCTGGCATGTAGAAGAATGCGGATTGAAACATGTTTATCACCATGCACAAAACTTAAGTCCAAATGGATCAAAGGCATCAACATAAATCCAGCCACACTGAACCTCTTAGAAGAGGAAGTGGGTGGTACCCTGTGGTTGGCCAAGTGGCAGAGCACGACGCCATCCATGAGTGCAGCTCCTATGTCTTCATGCAGGGTCACTTTCAACCTCATTTCAATGCTCTCTCGGTGCTGCTCCACCAGCTCCTTTCCTTCTGTCATCTGCTCCATTTTCCTCCAAATCGTAAACTGCAGGTCTATGGATTCCAAATTTCTCTGCGGTCTTAGAAACACTGAGAGAGGCTTCAGGCCAAAAGGAGCTGTGATGTTTGCAGTAGGAGACACGGAAGGGGAGTTGTCTCTCATCTCATTTGGAGAATAATGGTTCCCGTTACTCCGCATCATTAGATCATTTTGCACCTCACACTCTGGGGACATCTCCAGCTGCATCTGACCATTGAACGTAGGGTCAGGTAATTCTCAGGCTTCTGCTGAGCCCATGGGATACAGGCTCAAAATACTCCTCCCTGTAATGTCAGCGCTCAGACCGTTGGGATCCTGAAGCAACACTTCTGCTTCTCTCAGCTGCTCAATCATTGCTATATCCAAATCCTGATCTTTGGATGACTCTAGTAGTCTCTCCATGTGCCAATGAGCAACCTCTTCTATCCGCAATAGCTCTTCACACTCTCGCGCCTGGTCCTTTATAGTTCATAAATCCCGGGTGAAGAGCATCTGCTCCATCAGCAAACTGGTCTCTTTCTCGTCCTGAGCTGTTGCTGTCACCCAAAAGGGAAGGCTCTGGCTGAAATTCTCCTTTGGCTGGGGTCAGATGATGGCAGGCATCCTCCTTGATGGCCTGGTCTTCCTCCATGATGTTTGACATGGGAACATTGAGGCTAACTGTGTCCTCATCGGAGGGCTCGGTGGCAGATAACCGCTTATCTCCATTGTCATTTCCAACTCCCGAATCAGAATCCTTCTTACTGTCTTCTACATGCTGGTGCAAATGAGGCCTCTCCATGGTGTGGAGGTACAGGGGTCAGTCGTCTTAATCTGGCACGCTTGTATGCTCAGGTACTTAAATATGTGCACTTTGCCTTTTGTGCAAATCTGAGCCAGCGGGGACTGCAGAGGGTTGTTCTCCAGAAAGAGCACTTGAAGCTGCTTCATCTCTCTGAAACAGATGGGTATCACCAGAACTTTGTTGCAGGAAAAGTCATACTTTACCAAGGGGAGATCTACTAGTTCTGGTGGTAAAATCTTAAGGTTATTTTTTCGGACATTCAGTTCTTGTGGAGACTTTAGCTGGCCAATCTGCTGGGGCAAGGCTGTGATCTCGTTGCAGCTGACATCCAACTCTATTAACTGCTTGAGCTGACCTATCTCTTCAGGTAGTGATGCCATCTTGTTGTTACTTGTGATTAAGACTTTGAGAGGCAGACCACACAGGCAGGCAGGCAGGGCAGACAGCTGATTTCGGCTCAAGTTTAAGTAGGTTAGCATCTGCAAATTAACAATGGCCTCTGGGATGATGCGGATACAGTTGTGATACAGGTTAAGGATCTCCAGGGATACGAAATGGCACAGTTCCATCGGCAGTTCCACCAGCCTGTTTTTAGACAGATCTGCCTGAACCATGTCTGAGAGGTTGTGCCCGGGGGCCACCGTCCGGTGAAACTCCTTCAGCTTCCTTGTGCTCAGGTTTAAGCCCCCAGAATTGGCCGCCTCTTCCAGTGAGCGCTCCAGCCCGCAGTTCAAGGGCAGGTTGAAGCCCGCGCCTTCCGTGCCTCCTTGGTGCTCGTGGTGCTGGTGAAGGTGTGGGTGTAGGGCGGTTGCCGAGAGGGCGGGCATGAAAGCTTGGGGTTTGCTTCCCGGGTTTCCATCTTCTCATGGTCCCCTGCCCCGCTTCTGCGCAGGGGACACAGGTTTCCCCGGCAGCCCCGAGTCCCCGCTGAGCTCCCTCTCAAGCTGCAGGACGGCAGGAGGGGTGGACAGTGGTGCAGACCTAGAGGCAACCGCTCAATCGCAAAGATTTCCAGCCCGGGAGGCCGAGGGCTGCGAGAAAAGGAGCGGGTGGAGCAGCTCCGAGAGAGCATTGAAATGAGGTTGAAAGTGACCCTGCATGAAGACCTAGGAGCTGCACTCATGGATGGCATCGTGTTCTGCCACTTGGCCAACCACATCCGCTCCTGACCGGAAGCCGGACTCGGGGAAAAGAGACCAAGACTACCTGTGTGCTGTCTTTTATACCTTCCCCCGCAATGCCCCCTAGCCATGCCCAAATGTGGGCCTGGCTAGTAACGTAGTTCTGCCTACGTACGTATACGTCTTTACATCCAGCCGTATACGACTTTAGTCCTGCCTAAAGTGGGTGTGATTAGCGGTGTGGTAAACCGCCCTTTTATTACCTCATCTGTATGTGCCTCTAATAAGTCACATGTTTAATGGCAGCATCAGACTTCCTCCTACATACCCTTGAACGAATTGGTACAGGAGACAGCTTCCTGAACATATCACAGCTAGCACAGACAGTGAGATCAACAATTAATAAATGGGACCTCCTGAAACTGAAAAGCTTCTGTAAGGCAAAGGACACAGTCAGCAAGACAAAAAGGCAGCCCACAGAATGAGAAATAATATTCACTAATCCCACATCTGACAGAGGGTTGATCTCCAAAATTTACAAAGAACTCAAGAAGCAAGTCTCCAAAACATAAAAGGACCCAATTAAAAAGTGGGCTGCAGTACTAAATAGAGAATTTTCAATAGAAGATTCTAAAATGGCTGAGAGGCACTTGAGAAACGGTTCAACATCCTTAGCCATCCGGGAAATGCAAATCAAAACAATTATGAGATACCATCTAACACCAGTCAGAATGTCTTAATCAAAAACATCAACGAAAATTTATGCTGGATAGGATGTGGTGAAAGGGGACACTACTCCTCTGCTGTTGGGAGTGGTAACTTTTTCAGCCACTTTGGAAATCAGTATGGAGATTCCTCAGAAAAATGGCAATAAACCTACCACAAGACCCAGCAACTCCACTCTTAGGCATATATCCAAAATATGCCCATTCATACAACAAAGATGTCTGCTCCACTATATTCATAGCAGCAATATTTGTGATATCCAGAACTTGGAAGCAACTTAGATGTCCCTCAACCAAAGAGTGGATAGAGAAAATTTCGTATATTCACACGATGGAGTACTATTCAGCAGAAAAAATGGAATCCTGAGATTCGTAGGCAAATGGATGACACTAGAAGAAACCATTCTGTGTGAGGTAACCCAGTCACAAAAAGAGAAACATGGCATGTACTCTCTCATATATGGATTTTAGACATAGATCTGGGGAGTGCCAGACTACAATCCTATGGCCAGAGAGTCTGGGAAACAGAAACTTCATTTAGTGGCTGATCGAAGAAGTGGCAGACTCCCTTGGTTAAGTACTGTGCTGAACTCAAGAAAGCCAGTAACAGAGAGGGAGGACTGATGATCAAAGGGATTAAGACTGGTCTGGTTTAACCCCCAGAAACAGCTGAACTGACAAAGCTTAACTCTTGAAACCCAGGCATCAGCCTGGGAATACAGCATGGGACTAATCAAGAACCCATGAATGTGAGTGTCAGTGAGGAGGTCTAAGTAATCTATTGAGCCTTGGGCATCAGATCAGTACCCATCCCTTGTATACACACGGACTTTGGACTCCCATCCAACAATGTGAGGTGTACTCTCACCCTGAAATCTTGGGGAAGGGTCTAGGCCCTGCCCTATATGAAATGACAGAGTATGGACACCACCATTGAGGGCCTCATCCTCCCTGGAGAAATGAGGGGATAATGGGGGTGGTTGGGAGGGCACAGAAGGAGGGGAGGTAAAGGGAGAGCGACCTGGAACTGACGTGTGAAGCAACCTTGTATCTTATCTAAATTTAAATTGAAAAACACATAAATTAAAAAAAGAGAATTAACGATACAATACGGTGTGAGAAACTACATGAGTATCTACTTGAAAACTAACGATACAACACTGTCTGAGAATCTACATGAGTAACTTGTTGTAAATTGAAGATACAACACTGTGTGAGAATCTAAGGCATATTTTCTTGATAACTAATGATACAACACTTGTGTGAGAAATTACATATGTAACTTTTTGAAATTTAATTATAGAACACAGTGTGAGAAACTTCATGTGTAACTTCTTGAAAAATAATGATAGAAAGCTGCCTGCACATCTATAAGCATACCTTATTGAATAAAAGGAAACAATACATTGTGTGAAACTATGTAACATCTAGAAAACAAACGAAACAACATTGTGTGAGAATCTACATTCGTAACTTTTTGAAAACTAAGGATAAAGCACTGTGTGAGAATCTATATATGTAACTTCTTGAAATCTAACGATAAAACGCTGAGTTCTAACTGAATGAATAACTTTTTGAACAGTAACGATACAACACTCTGTGAGAAAACTCACGTGTAACTTATTGAAAACTAACGATACAACACAGTGTGAGAATCCCCAGGTGTAATTTATAAAAATTAATGACAAAACACTGTTTGAGAAACTACATGCATACCATCTTTAAAATTATGAATACAACACTGTGAGAGAATCTATAAGTGTAACTTCTTAAAAAAATTGAGAGAAAACTGTGTTAGTAGCTATGTGGGTAACTTCTTAAAAACTAACGATACAGCACTATGTGAGTATCTACATGTGTAACTTATTGAAAAATAACAATACATCACTGCGTAAGAAACTACATGTATGACTACTTGAAAACTAAATATACTACACTGGCTGAGAACCTAACGTATATCTTAATGAAAAGTGATGATAAAATTCTGTGTTTGAATCTATATGTGAAACTTTTTGAAAATAAATGACACAACACTGCCTGAAAATCTACACATGTAACTTACTGAAAATTGAAGATACAACACTGTGTGAGAATCTACATGTGTAAATTATTGAAACCTAACAATACACACACTCTCAGTATCTACACGTGTAACTTCTTGAAATCTAATGATACAACCCGGTTTGAGAATATATAAGCGTAACTTCTTGAATACTAAATATACAACACTGTTTTGAGAATCTACACGTATAACATCTTGTAAACTAACGATACAACCTTGTGTTTGAATCTGTTTGCCTAACTCCTTGAAACCTAATGATACAATACAGTGTGAGAAACTACATGTGTATCTTCTTGAAAACCAACAATACAATGCTGCCTGAAAATGTATACGCGTAACTTATTGAACACAAAGGAAACTACACTTTGTGGGATACTATGTAACATCTTGAAAACAAACCATACAACATTGTGTGAGAATCTATATAGGTAACTAACGATACAGTACTGTGTCAGAATCTGTCTACGTAACTTCTAGAAATCTAACAACAAAACTCTGAGTTCAAAACTGAATGCTTAATTTCTTGAAAATTAACGATATAACACTGTGTGAGAATCCACATGTGTAACTTATTGAAAACTAATGATACAACCCTGTGTAAGAATCTATAAGTGTAACTTCTTGAATCCTAAGGATACAACACTGTCTTGAGTATCTACGCGCATTACTTGTTGAAAACTAACGATACAATACTGTGTGAGAACCTACACGTGTATCTTATTGAAAATTAATGACACAACACTGTGTGAGAAAATACACGAGTAAATTATTGAAAACAAACGATACAACACTGTGTGAGAAATTACGTGTTTAACTCTTGAAATCTAACTATACAACACTGTCTGAGAATTTATATTCGTAACTGCTTGAAAAGTAACGATACAACACTGAGTTCGAAACTACATACATAACTACATGGAAACTAATGAAATAAGACTGTGTGAGAAACTACATTAGTAACTTCTTAAAAATTAACAATACAACACTGTGTAAAAATATACACGTGTATCTTATTGATTCTCAGACAGTGTTATATTGTTAGTTTTCAAGAAGTTACGCTAATAGATTCTCACAGACTGCTGTATCATTATTTTTAAAGAAATTATGCATGAAGTTTCTCACACTGTGCATTTTCGTTAGTTTTCAATATGTTACACGTCTAGTTTCTCACACAGTGTTGTATGGTTAATTTACAATAAGATATACATGTAGGTTCTTACACAGTGTTGTAACGTTTGTTTTCAAGAAGTTACATATGTAGTTTATCACACAGTTTTGTATCGTTAGTTTTCAAGAAGTTACATGTGTGGATTCTCAGTAGTGTTGAGCCCTTTATTTTCAAGAAGTTTACACATATAGATTCAAACACCAGATTGTATCATTACTTTTCAATAAGATACATGAATAGTGTTGAATCATTAGTTTGCAATAAGTAACACCTGTAAATTCTCACACACAGCATTGTATTGTGAGTTTTCAAGAAGTTGTAAATGTAGTTTCTCACAAAGTGTTGTATCGTTTTTTTCAAGAAGTTGTAAATGTGGTTTCTCATACAGTGTTGTATCATTAGTTTTCAAGACGTTATACATGTATTTTTTCACATAGTGTTGTATCATTAGTTTTCAAGAAATTACACATGTAGATTCTCAGACAGTGTTGAGTCTATTATTTTCAAGAAGTTACCCATATAGATTCAAGCACAGGATTGTATCATTACTTTTCAATAAGCTACATGTGTAGTTTCTCACACAGTGTTGAATCATTAGTTTTTAATATGTAACACGTGTAGATTCTCAGACAGTGTTGTTTCACTAATTTTCAATAAGTTACACGTGTAGATTCTCACACAGTGTTGTATCGTTATTTTTCAATAAGTTACACGTGTAGATTCTCAAGACAGTGTTGTATCATTAGTTTTCAAGAAGTTACGCTTATAGATTCTCACAGAGTGCTGTATCTTTATTTTTCAAGAAATTATGTACATAGATTCTCACACTCTGTTGTATCTGTTGTGTTTAAGCAGTTACACCTGTCGATTCTCTCACTCTGTTGTATTGCTAGGTTTCAACTGGTTTTGCATGTAGTTCCTCAAACATTGTTGTGTCGTTAATTTTAATAATTTACACAGAGATATTCTCACAATATGTTGTATCATTAGTTTTCAAGAATTTACCTATATAGATTCTAACTCAGTGTTGTCTTTTCAGTTTTCAATAGGTTACAT